GCTTCTGTCATATGGGGGTTAGATCGGTTTCAAAACTTCGATGTCCACATTGCTACCTTGGGTTTCAGCTCGACTGTGTTGCTCTGCCTAGCAGCCCAACTGAAAGTTGGAATCAAGTGGGGTAAGTGAGTTTGCATACCAAACTTGAGTTGACATGGAGGAACCCCAAATCGGTCGAGGAATGTTCTATTGGGGGTTTTAGTTTGGGTTCCATTTTTGGGGAGCAAGCCATGTAGATCTGACACTGGTGTTGATGGCTCGCTCTTCTTCCCCGAAGCTGTTTTGGCTTCTTCAAGCTGTCCACAGAGTGGAGAAGCTTGAGAGGAGCCGTGAAAAGGACAGCAACATTTCTTGACAATTTCACCCCTACGATGGGCCGACTGCCGAAGGTCTCAAGAGACAAAGTGAGAAACGGGTGTCTCTTCAAATAGGGGACTCACGTGATAGGTTTTCTTTTTGTTGGTTTCCCTTCAAAACCAAGCCCAAAGGATACCCCTCAAAAAAGACACACCCAGACGTCCATGAGCCCGCGACAAGTCTACGTTGCAGAGTACACGAGCAAGACCCAGGTATAGACAAGCTAGCGTCAGCCACGAGCAAACCTGTACATTTTTCCCATCTCTGTATACATTGCATGTATATATATATATATAGATATGTGAACGTGTGTAGCTATTACATGTGTGTATGCATTATATATATATATATATGCATTAGATAATATTGTTCCGGCCGGCTTGGATGCGGCCATGCCCATGCCCAAGCCGACGGGGCGAGGGCCCGCCGGCGCTCGGCTGAGGGCTTCGGAGCAGTTTGTCCGGAGCTTCCGATGGGCTGCGCGGGGCCGAGGCGCTTTTTTCTCCGCCCGAGGCGAACTTCGCTGGATTGGGAGCCTGCTTGGGGACTTTTGTCGAATGGCTCGTCGGCTTTTGGGGACCCTCTGTTGGGTGTGCTGGGAAAAGAAACACCAATTTTGGGTGTCCCATGGGTCCCTACTTGGATGGTCGTTGCCACGTTAGGTGGTTTAGTCTAGGTGGTTCCTGAAATCCTTTTTGCGTTTTGGCACGCCCTCAAACCGAAATTTGTTTTGGTTTCGGAAAAATAATTAAACAACGCCACCCAAAAAGTAGCCTCACCCGCATTTGTCGAGGCATCGATCGAAAGGGGTGCGTGAGTCGCACACAAAAGCCCAGCTACCACCCCTGCTCTTTTCGTATGTTGTGCAATCTATTGAGGCCCAAACTTCGACTCTTTTCCACAGGGCACCGCCCTTCCATTCCTCCACCCACCTTCACCACTCTTCCTCCCTCCCCCCGTGCTCGGCCAGCAAAGCGGGCGCGCGCCGAACTGCAAAGGACAATTCTCTTTGGCTGCACCTGTAAAGCTTGTGACTCCATAGGTGTCCTTTTTGGTTTTGCTAGGAAAATAGATCGCGATTCCTGGTTTGCCTGGTTTAATCATCTACCAGGGCCATCTATTTCCCCTAGAAGGACACCTATGTCTCAGAGCCAGGCGCGGCCTCGGAGCTGCTGGAGGTGCTGGCGCTGGCGGCCGCGGAGCTGAACCTGCCGCCGCCCTGGGAGGCGAAAACCCCGTCCTTTGGGGCGCGGAAGGGGGTGGCTTGATATTCGATGTTTCTCATACATGTGTGTGTGTGTGTCTTTTTGAGGGTTCCCTTTTTTTTGGTCGTTTTGAGGGTTCCTTTTTTTTGGGGTGGTTCTACAGGGAAAGGAAAAGGAGCAACCACCATTTTTTGGGGTTCAGGCTTAAAGTGGGGGACCCTCAAGATGGATTTCGGTTTTCCCAATTGGTTGTCCTTTGCAACCCCAAAAAGGTGCGCTCGAAAAACGATGAGCCACCACATGTGTATGCGTATGTGTGTCATACTTTACCTCCGGTAAGAAATATCTTGGGGCAGCTTGGGGCATGTTGCGGCTTTGACACCAGACTGCCCGATATTTCCCAGTTTCCGAGGGTCTTTGTACGGCTTTCTTACGGCATGTTGTATCACAGCTTGCTTGGGTGGCCAAGTTAGTAAGTTGCAGGTAACCTAGGTCATAAAGGTCAACCTTGTCTTTCATGGGCTCTCTCACCCAAGTGGCGAACCACCTAGCTTGGCAACGCACACCGCCCCACCAATCCCCAGAGCTCTGTGGTTTGTTTGGCTAAGCTGAGTGTTGCGGACGGACGAGTTTTGCTTCTTTGGAAAAGTTTATGTGGACAAACAGAACCCCATACCAGCTTCATGATCCTCTGACACAAAGAGGAAAGGACCACCGTGACTTACATCCAGCTCGGGCATTCTCGTAGGTTAAAGCATAGTAGGCAACCAGCCATTTTCCAATTTTCCTTTTAGTTTTTAAAGGGTGGTTCCCATGGTTGCCCAGGTAAATAGAATCACCGGGAACTTTCACATTGCTAAGAGTTCTCAGCGTCCATTGGTCGCCTTGTGGTGCCTCCCCTAAGCCGACCTCACGGATCGGGTCCCAGACCCCTTTGGAGAAATCGGCGAATTGAAAACGATCCATAGGGCGCCAAACCTCTGAATATGGGGATCATGATTATATGTATATGTTTGATTTATTTTGATTTATATGCATATTTTGCGCTGTATTTACATTCCCGCAGGCCCAGAACATGCCCTTTTTAGCGCCAGTCAGGCCTGGAGATCGGAACTCGTTGGGCCTGACATGCTGACGACGGCTTCGACGGAAGTCCCTAGAGTTCCCCTTTTCATGGCTTGAAACGTCGCCTTTGTGGATCTTGGCCCATCTAAGTTGAGTTTCCTTTGGTAGGGTGATGTTTTGAGGGGAAGTGTCGGAGCCCGGTTTGAAGAGGGCCCCGCTACTCCCAGCGCTCTTCACAGATCGACCAGGAGATCTGTCTTGAGGACGCGGTCTACTTCTGGAATGGCAGCACTGGAGAGTCCAGCTGGCAACATCCCCACATGGAGGCGCGGCGAGTCACGGCCGACAAATGTTTTGTTTTGCCCATCAAATGGTTCTGTGAGGTTATATCTGGTGATTTGGATTGGTTTGGGGGGTTTAGTAGTTCCTTTTGAAGCCAAATGGACTTCCCCTGACCTCCAAATCACCAAATAAGCAGAGTGTGAGGTGAGGTATCCTTTTGATGGGACATTCTCTCCATGGACCCCTTTCCATGCCTGATTTCCGCGAGCAGCCCACAATTTCAACCCGCGTAGATGAAGGCTAGTAAGGGATGTGGTCCCAACCATAAATAGGTGCGGATATCCGCCTTTAATTCTTTTGGTAGATTGTGTCAGAATGAGCTTGGCGACCTTGGGGAATTGAACGTTTTGACTCGAGCACCGAGGTTTTGTGGGGTCCAAGTTTGTCACATACCCTTGTGACTGGAATTTCGAATCAACATTTGCTCAGCATGTTCTTTGTGGTACAGGCTCAGCATCTTCCCCTATGGTGAAACAGCTCTTTTGCCGGGGGCATTGCCCACAAAGCGATTCACCCTTTGGGCTTTCCCATGTAAAGCGGCTTGTGAGAGTTTTCTTTAGGTGGGTGATGCTTCAGGGGGAAATGATTGGACCCCTGTTTGAAGCTTTCCCGGTCTTCCTCATCCGGGACTACGTGACATCCCCATGTCCTCATGGGATCGCTGAAATGGTTTGCCGGGAGGCGGCCTCTTCAGTTCCCTTTGTTTCATCTTGAACCCAGCGGTCTTTTTGTGGTTTCCTTTTGTTTTCCCATTTATCTATGCACCAGGGTTCCCGATGTTACACACCCGTGTCCGGAGGTTGCCGTGGCTATGTGTCAAAGGGGAACGGCCCAAATAGTGTGACTTTCCTTTTAGCTCCCGTTGGTTTTATAGGTGAAACGAGTATCCGCAACGCCACCCTGTTCAACTTACCGGCTTTTGGGACCATTCACCATAGTCGATGGGGATGCTTCAAAGCCTTCCTTTTGAACCCGGAGTTTGATGGATTCGCCATATGGGTGTGTCATTCTTTAGGCGACCCCCCCAAAAGAAATGGTGGGTTTCTCGTAGGTTTCCCTTCAAAACCAAGCCCACAAACGGTACCAAGCTCCGAAACATGTTTTCTTCTTCTTCTATTCAAAAAAACAAAACAAGCAAGCAAACACGCACACACACCCACACACACACACACTCACACCCAGGTGTGCCGCAGGAATTCTAATGGCTGTAGAACAGCGTAGCAGAAGAAACATGAACAGGAACGCCACCATTTTTTGGGGGGCGTCCACCCAAAAAAGACACCACTCACATCCTCTTCCTTATTTTTCTGAGCTGAGGTCTTTCTGTGGACGCTGGACGCTTTGGTGGATCTCATCCAGTCCTGCCACAAGGTACCGCAGGTGGCAAAGGCCATCAAGCTGCACCTGCTACTC